GGGGGAGCGGGTGGAAATGCCGCGTCTACTCTGGGCTCACCCAAACGCTCCCGGGGGGCAGCCATGCCCCGCACTTCTCCCCCGCACCCCTGAGGCCGAGCTAGGCCCCCCCTTCGTCCATTGCTTTGCCACCCTGGCAACCTGAGGGTGGTCCCCGGTGGCCCAGCCCCCCGTGCCCGCGGAGGAGCCGCGTTCTGCAGCGACTCACGGCTGCCTTTGTGTCCCCAGCTGACAGGGGGAATTGGGTTCATCCACCACAACTGCACCCCGGAGTTCCAGGCCAACGAAGTGAGGAAGGTGAAGGTGAGCCTGGGGCACTGCAGGGGTGGGTGGTGGGGTCTGGCTCTGCCGAAGGAGCTCAGAGGAGATGGGCAAAGCATCTCGGTGTTTCGGAGCAGTGGTGCTGCCGTGGTTGCCTGCACAAAGCTCTGATCGTGTGTTGGGTGCTGTCCCATGCACAGCCGGGGATTTGAGAGCTGCCAGGCCTCTGGAGTTGGGGTGTTCCCCATAATTTCAGGCAGGAGCTTGGCCTGGGAGCCCTTGGGATGCCAACAGTGCTCGGGCGAGCCTTGGTGCTGGTTTGGGAGTCACCCCTTTGGTGAGCACATGGCCAGGCTGGGTGACCACGGACCTTTGTGAGCGGCTGTGGGCAGCAGCTGGGGCATGCCCGGCTTCTGCTCGGTCTGACAGTGCTGCTTGCCCCGAATCTGAATCTGATTCTGGGTTTATTTTCAGAAAAAATGAAATCTGCTGATCTGAATCTGCTTTCTTTTTTTCTCTTCTTTTTTTTTTTTTCAGAAATACGAGCAAGGATTCATCACAGACCCCGTGGTGCTGAGCCCCAACGACCGAGTGCGAGACGTGTTCGAAGCGAAAGCTCGCCACGGGTTCTGCGGGATTCCCATCACGGACAACGGGAAGATGGGGGGGAAGCTGGTTGGGATCATCTCCTCTCGCGATATCGATTTCCTGAAGGAGTCGGAACACGACTTGCTTCTCGGCGAGGTGAGGAGGGTTTGCGAGCAGCCGATGGCCGCCAGCGCTGCGTTATGCCGTGGTGTGGCGTGGGGTAAGGAGAAGGGCGAGCGCGTGGCTGTGAGGACGCTGCGGGAGGGAGCAGCTCCGTGTTGGCTCTGCGGGTCCGTCTTTAAGTGTATTTCCAGGGGAGAGCATCTCCTTCCTTCTCTCTGCAACTCCCGCAGTGCAGGCGCAGGAGAGCGGCCGTGCCGTTCGCGTGGCTCCTCCTGCGGGGCTGTCTCTCACCATCATGGAAGCTGGTGCTGTCCCCTGGTTAATTAATTAATTCCCGGCGTTAATGGCCACCGCTGTGGTCACATGTGCTGGCCCTGGCTGGGGCTGCGGCAGCAGCGCTGTGCCCAGAGAGCCCTCCCAGTGCCCAGCTCCCTGTGCTGGCCTGCCCTTCCCCAAGCACCTCGTGGAGGCTGCTTGCTCTTTAAAATAACCGACTGAAGGTGGAGAGTGGCTGTTCAGCCTTTATAACACCACACCGTCAAGCTCCCCTGGTGCCGGTGCCGGTTCCCGTTAGCCGTGGCATTCCCGTTACGTGAGCTGTGTAACCGTAGAGCCGCGGCGCTGTCAGGTTACACCAGCGGTGCCTCTGCTCCTGACTCATGGCTATTTTTGGCTCTTGCTGACCAAAGCCGGTGTCACACGCTCATCCCTGTTGGATTTGAAATCGCCTATAAATACCTGGAACAAGGATCTTGAACCGGGGATAGGTTATCAAAGTGCACATGGCCCTTTGAAGTGACTCAGGTCTGATCAGAGCAGTCAGATAAGAATCTTCTCGCATCCTTTACGTGGATCATTTGAGTTGGAAGCTGTCACCCTGAGGCTGAGGAGAGGAATGGTCTCCTACAGCTCTCCCCACAGCAGCTGTTTCTTTGAGCCGCTCATTCCCACCCAGTTAAACACCGTATCTCACAGAATCACAGAATCCCAGACCGTTAGGGATTGGAAGGGACCTCCAAAGCTCACCCAGTCCAATCCCCCTGCCGGAGCAGGAACACCCAGATGAGGTTACACAGGAAGGCGTCCAGGCGGGTTTTGAATGTCTGCAGAGAAGGAGACTCCACAACCTCTCTGGGCAGCCTGGGCCAGGGCTCTGTCACCCTCACTGAGAAGAAGTTTCTTCTCCAATTGAAGTGGAACCTCCTGTGTTCCAGCTTGTGCCCATTACCTCTTGTCCTATCATTGTTTGTCACCGAGAAGAGCCTGGCTCCATCCTCGTGACTCTCACCCTTTAAATATTTATAACCATGAATGAGGTCTCCCCTCAGTCTCCTCTTCTGCAAACTAAAGAGCCCCAGCTCCCTCAGCTGCTCCTCATAAGGGAGATGCTCCACTCCCTCCATCATCTTTGTAGCCCTACGCTGGACTTTCTCCAGCAGTTCCCTGTCCTTCTTGAACTGAGGAGCCCAGAACTGGACTCTCCAAGGATGGAGAGGTTTCACCACCTCTCCGGGCTGCTCTTCCAGTGTTTGGCTGTTTGTGAAAGCTTTTCTCTGTAGAACCACGTCAGATGTTCCCATATTCCAGTTTGTGTCCATCGCCCCTTGCCCTTCCGCTGTGTCTCGGCGCTGTTTGTCTGAGTGCGCGTGGGCAAGGGTGTTTGTTTGGATTGAAGCAGCTCCTTTGCCCCGCTGCCCTTGGCAGCAGCAGGGTTATTCTGAGCCGAGCCCTTCCAGAGCCTGTGCCTGAAAGCGAGCCTGGGTGTCATGTTTCTGCCAGGACAGCGTAGGGCTCTGGAGGCGTCTCCAGCCCTTATTTGCCTGCGCTGTGTTAAAAGGGAAGGCTTTTTGGGTGCCATCCCAAACAAGAGTCAGCTGACAGGTGTCCCTTGCTTCTGGGTGCTCTCCCTCGGCGTGCTGAGGCCCTCTGCCATCTCCTGCTTTCACTACACCCATGAATTTGGGGGCTGATGGCCACTGCTTGCACGGGGATGCCGCGCTGGAGGCTGCCCCACGCGTTGCCGCGCCGTGGGCTCCGTTATCTGCAGAGCACTCCCACACGGCTGCTGCGCGGCGTTTCACGTGGGCGGGAGGGCTTTGGTATTTCCAGATCGGCGCGGAGGAGTCCTTGTGACTTTTTATCTCCTCCCTCCCGCTAGATTATGACAAAACGGGAGGACCTTGTCGTGGCCCCGGCCGGCGTCATGTTGAAAGAAGCAAACGAAATTCTGCAGAGGAGTAAAAAAGGTACCTGCGAGCGTCGGCGACGTGCGGGGAGGCGCAGGGCTGGGAGCGGCGGTGGCGAAACGCGGGCACGCGTCCCTGCGCGGGTGGAGGTGCGAGGGCTGCGTTCCAGCGCGAGGAGCGGAGCCCTCTGCCAGGGTGCAGGGTTCACGTGCGTTCATCCCAAATCTGTTTGGAGCTGATGGATTCTTGGCAGCCCGCGAGCTGCAGAGAGCCTGGCTGTCCAGCCACACGTCTCCAAATTTGCTCTGCTGGCCTTCGCATTTTCGCACTCCGTTCGGCTCTCTTAGGGTTTGGTAGTTTTGACTTTTAATGCGATGTCATGGGTTTGATTATTAAGAAAAGATGCCCTTTATCTGTGTGCGGATACTGAGTCCCTCTCCAGTCCTTGCTCTGTTTTCCAAGCCAGGGCTGTTGGTATCTGTGGCCAAGCAAGATTTGGTATCGCTGCTCTTTGAGTCTCCACCTCGTACCAGAGCTCCTGGTCTGCCGCGCTGCTCCGGGCTGACGTGTGTCTCCCCCAGAAGCCTGCAGTGATGTTCTTTGTGTTTGTTTCAAGGCAAGCTGCCGATCGTTAATGAAGATGACGAGCTGGTGGCTATAATTGCCCGCACCGACCTCAAGAAGAACCGGGACTACCCTCTGGCTTCCAAAGATTCCAAGAAGCAGCTGCTGTGCGGGGCCGCGATCGGGACCCATGAGGATGACAAGTACCGGCTGGACCTGCTGGTGCAGGCTGGCGTGGATGTGGTGGTGCTGGTGAGCTGCCCACAGGCATCACATCAGCCTGGGGGGCTTGGGTGGGCTGGGGACCCGGTTTGGATGAACCCCTCTGATGGGGGAGCAGCGTGGCACTCACTAGCTTTGTTACAGGTCTTTTTGTGTTACAGCGTGGCAGTTTGGTGACCTTTTGGTCTCATTAGGTTGGAGTCCTCAAATAAGAGGGTTCCTCTTGCCTGGGAACTCGCTCGGCCTTGAGTGAGTACGTAGGGTGCATCAGAGCCCCGAAGGCTGAGAAAAGAAACACTTTCAGTTGATCCAGAGTCTTCTCCAAATGCTTTTTGCAGTCTGCTGCCATCATCTCAGATGTTCCCGACTAATTCTGGATATTTGGCTTCTTACAGTTTCCTTTCAGCTGCTGAGTGTCTGTTACTGTGTGATTCTTTTAACAACGTTCAGGAGTGCTCTGCCCATCTCCCTCCCGCCCTGTGTCGGGCGCAGCAGTCGCTGCCTGTATTTGCTCATCATTTTCTCATCGATCGCTCGCATCCGCATGCTCTGAGGGCATGGCTGAGCCGTGCTGCGGCTGGAAATGTTTAACAGACGCCGCAGGTTGGCCGGGTCACGGGGCTTGGCAGGGCCTGAGCGCTCGGTGGTCAACGGCTGATGTTTCAGCCGCGCCGCAGGGAGGGCTGCGTGTGCCCCTGCACCTGTCTGGGTTTCACAAGGAGCGTTCACTGCTTCTCCTGGAGCTTGAGACGGGGCTGGCGGTGTCCTGGTGGTAGATACAGACGGTTGTGACCCGCAGCCAGATGTGCTGCTCGTCGCCTGCTGTTGAAGCTGCAGGATTTAAGTGTGAAGGGTGTTACTGAAGCCTTTACAATAAACTGCTGTGCGCAGTGAAGGTACCTTGGCAGCGGCTTCTCCTCTGCATCTCTGCTCTATCTGGGGTCTCATTCTGTCCACTGAGCTTAGCAGAGACCCCAGCAAGCAAAGGGAAGGTGTGAGGCTCTCCCAGAGCTGTGTTTGTAATCTTGTGCAGAAATTCCGGTTGAAATTGGCTTGCTTTCTCTTGCAGGATTCCTCTCAGGGGAACTCCATCTTCCAGATCAATATGATAAAATATATCAAGGAGAAATATCCCAACCTACAAGTTATTGGAGGAAATGGTAGGCATGTTCTTGAATGTTCTTGTCTTTAAAGTGTGTTTGCTGCTTTGACGTAGAGGGAGCTTTGGGGACGTGGATGAAATGAGCCCCTTGGTAAATGTCTGTGAGCTCAAAATGGTTTCCCCTGGCTCACGGAGCAGAGCAGGACCACTGCAGACACAGGGCAGTACCCCACTGCTGCCATGTCTGCAAACACCTTGAAACCTTTGTTTAGCAGCACAGTGCACTATGGTCTCCTGTAGCCCGTTCCACATTAGCTGCTTTTACACCCCAGCTTAAATTGTTTTATAATGATGTGGAAATGTAATGGAAGATTTCCCTGCAGAGTTGAGCAGCCCTTGCTGGTGTGTCAGTGGTGCTGCTCTGCCCTCCCTACCCGGTGTGGCCCAAAGAGCACTTGGTGACCTCTGCTGCCTCAGCCTTTGGCCCTGAGCCTGCTGCAGAGCAGCCGAAGTGACCGGTGTCCTCTCATGCGCTGGGACAGGAGCTCACCGCTCGTGCCCTGGATGTGGCTGTGGGGGGTGAAGCACCAGAGCAGGGCAGGGTTGCACGCAGACCGGCTCGTCTCTCTTCAAACCAGTTTCTGCTCCCCACAGTTGTGACCGCTGCGCAGGCCAAGAACCTCATTGATGCAGGCGTCGATGCCTTGAGAGTCGGGATGGGCAGCGGCTCCATCTGCATCACGCAGGAAGGTGAGAGAGATCGGCTGTCTCCTAAATAGGCTGAAGACACGTGTTCAGTAGACAATCTCTGCTGAAAAGCAGCAGAGCTGGGATGGGCTTCTCCCGCTGTAGTGTCCAAGCAAGCCATCTTTCCCCCTTTTTTGTCCAGGACATCCTCATCACCTGGGTCAAACCTTTGGGGTGGCAGCAGCAGCAAAGGCATCTCCCAGTGCTGACTGAGACCGGGTAGAGCAGCTGTGGCTTTGCCGCTGGTTTGGTGTGGGATGGGGCTGGCGGGCAGCTCTGCGGAGAGGGGGTCACTGGATCCCCAGTGCCAATGGGGTGGAGCGCACTGCGCTGTCTGCGCTCGCTCTGGCAGCCGTGTGCGTGATGCTCCAGCATCGGTCTGCTGGGCTGCCATTTCCAGGCCAAAATGGGATTTCTGGCCGTTGTCTCCGCAGTTTGTGCGGGGCAGAGGCGTTGCCCATAGCTAAAAGGTGGAGAGGGGCATCCCCAGGGTCTGGAGAGGAGCTGCCGTGAGGACAGGCTGAGTCCTCGTGTTTTGGACATGGCAGGCGAGGTGCAGAGAGGCAGTGTGAGGTGTTACAGCCCACGAGCACAGCCCCTCTCTCCTTTGCTCCTTGGGCCTCACCACGGGAGGCAGCAGGAGGGTGGCTGATGGCTGAGGGTGCTGCGTTAGCTCTGCCAAACGCAGCGTGGAGCCTTAGAGCAGCCCTGGGCCAGGACTGCTTGGCCTGTCCCGGGAGTGGTGGCTGTGGGGGGCTTCCCAGTCAGGGCAGTCTGTTTTGGGGGCCCTTTCTAGGGTGGTTGTGCTGTCCTTGGTTGGCACTTCCACGGCTGGAGCAGAAGCAGGGCAGCTGTGTCTGACTCTGTCTGCAGGGCAGATACCCGCTGAGGTACGACCTGTCCTGCAGCATGGTGACCATCACTCTCCTGGCTGCTGCGGGTTTTGGCCCTCTAAGGTCAAGATCTCCAGTTTTTGGGGTTAGGGGATCACCTCTGCTTGGCTTCTGGGGCCCAGCTGGCTTTGATCCGGCCTCTGGCTAGGAAGGGTTTGCCAGGTCAGCTCTGTCCCACACCACACGCTCTGCCTGGTGGCAGGTCACTGCTGGGGTCCTTTGTTCTGCTGCTGTTCTTCTGTCTCTAAAATGTGTGTGTTTGTTTTTGTTTAGCTGCTCCAAAGATCCCTCCAGACCTAAAGTCCCACAGCCCCAAATGCCCTTCTACTGTCACGGGCACCTATAGTAAGTCACTTGCCCTGTTCCCAACCCTAATTATGTGTCTTGAAGCAGGACCCTGATTTGGCTGCACATGGCCCTACTGCTTGTTTGAGAATAATTTAGCTGTAGATGCACTTGGGGTTTTGTGGCTTTGGATACTGGTTTTGAATCCGAAATGGGAGCTGAGAAGCCTTTCTGAATTCCTAAAGCAGGGTTTGAACTGTCAAAGCTGGGGACGCGCAGGCCCCTCCGCCCTCCACTCCAAAATCCTGTTAGGAGCCCGACGGGGCTTTCTGGCCACATTTTCTCCACACCTGGCCGGGCACGGCCCTGCTGGTGCAGCGCTGGGAGGTGACTCCTGAGTTGTCCTCCATCCTGTTCTCAATCTGGCCCCGGCTGTGGGGAAGTTATGCCCTGGCTAAGCTTCACACGGAGCTCTCTCCCCTGGGGTTACAGAGGGACTTTAGTGCCTATGGCCACCTGCGTACCAGGACCACATCTTTCCCCACTGACGGAGAGAAAGGGCCCTTCCCCTGCCCGGCACGGGGTGCAGCGTTGTCTGCTCCCTACTTCTCTGATGCTACCGGCTCGAGCGAGCCTTGGGTTGTGCCCGTTCTCCTTGTTCTGATACATCTCCAAGGGAAAGCGGTTTCTGTTGAAGATCCAGAAGGTTCTCTCTAGCAGATGGTCTTGTAGGGCCACCCTTTGCGGATACACTAAAAAAGACCCTCACCCTGACATTCTGTGTGTGTGTGTGTGTGTGTGTGTGTGTGTGTGTGTGTGTGTGTATGTGCTCTGACCCCTGCTTTGGAAGCCTGCGCTCTGCAGCTGTGGTGCTGGGACGCGGGCATGGTGTGATGCTCCCAGGGCCACGCTGTTCCTTAAAGGGTTGGTCTCCGTGGTTGCTCTTGTTAGGTTTCTGCAGCCCTGCGCTGCCTGTGGCACAATCCTGGGCTCCAGGCGCTCCAAAATCAGGTGCTCCTCTCCACAGAGCTCCTCCTCGCAGTGTTTTGTAGCCTCAATGCAGCCTTTAGCAGCGCGGTACCGAGTGAGACCACCTCTTTAAGACTAACGGTGTTCCTGCTGTAGCTGGCAGACTCCCTGGCTGGCTGAGGCCTAGCGTGATGCCGAGTTTTGTTCCATTAAAACCAGTTCTTTCACGACCTCAGCCTGGAGTTTGCCTTCCCTCACTCAGCACCCTCTGCTGAGCCCCGGGAGCATCCGCAGCCTCAGCAAACCCCTGCCATGGCTGTGTGCTGCTGTGGCTGCTGCTGGGCAGGCGGCACCACACCTGGAGCTCACGCTCCAAAGTGCTAATCCTGCATGGCCGTAACCTTCCCTGGCGCATCGGACTAACCACGGCTGGAGAAAAGGCTTCCTGGTGACTGTGGAGAAGGGAAATCTCCCCGAGAGAAGCCTGTCTCGGCGTACCTGCATGCCTGTGGCTGGCAAATGTGTTATGAGATATGCCCTGTGCTGGTTTTCCCTCGCACCACAGGAAGCCTCTTAACTGCTGCTGATGGGAAGAGCAGGTAAACACGAAGCTAAACACTCCCCTCCCATGGGGCAGCTAAACCTGACAGAATCCTTGCTGTGTGCAGGGCAGGAACATGAATTATGTCCCTTTAAGCTGTCAAATCAGCCTGCCCTCATTCCTTTTCCACTGCTGCATGTGTGTGTGTGTGCAGATGTGTATATATAAATTTATCTACATGTGTGTATATCTATCTCTCTCTATATATATAGATATACACACATACCAGCTCTCTCCCAGCCAGCTTTCCGTGCAAGAAGCGCATCGTACAGCTGCTGGGTTTGGGAGAAGGGGTCTGGCACTGCTAGGAGGGAACGAGCAATGAGACGTGGCTGTGCCAGGGATGCTCTGGAGAGGGGCTTTTGGGGTCTTCCCCAGCTCCCCACACATCTGCTGTGCACCAGGATGAGCCATGAGCCTTGGCTGAGCCCAGGCCTTTGCTCAAACACCCCGGTCCCAATGTCCCCCACAGCTTTCTGGAGCCGAGGGCTGTGAGGATGTCCCAGCAGGCACCTCCTGGGCATCTGCTCCTCTCGTGACTCGGCCTAGGGAAGGAGCACCCAGGGATCTGTGCTTTCCCGAGTGCCGGAGCATGTGTGTGTGGGACGCCTGAAGGGGCTGCTGGGGAGGGGCCGCGCTGCCGCCTGGGCACTGACCCCTCCTCTGCTCTCTCCCTGCCCGCAGTGCTGGCATGCGGCCGCCCCCAGGCCACAGCGGTCTACAAGGTGTCCGAATACGCCCGGAGGTTCGGCGTCCCCGTGATTGCGGATGGAGGCATCCAGACAGTTGGGCACATCGCAAAGGCCCTGGCGCTTGGGGCCTCCACAGGTGAGCGGCGCAGCGGGCGGCTGGGTCCTGTGTGCTGCAGGGGTCTCCCAGGAAGGGTTTCTGTTCAGCGATGGACTCTGGGCATGGGGACGTATCCCTGAAGGTGGTTGGGGACACAGGGCATCCAGCACCGTGCTGTGCCCAGGTCCTTGAGGGTTTTGTGGCCTTTCACTGCTGACAAAGTGTTCTTGGTGCTCTCTTGTGCCAGTGATGATGGGCTCGCTCCTGGCTGCCACCACGGAGGCCCCCGGTGAGTACTTCTTCTCAGATGGGATTAGGCTGAAGAAATACCGTGGCATGGGCTCGCTGGATGCCATGGACAAGAACCTGGGCAGCCAGAACCGGTATTTCAGGTAAGAGGTGGTGCTTCGGGGCAGCAGATCGAGCTGTTGGGGCTTCTCTGCCTCACAAACTGCTTTTGATTTGTGCTCCCATGCAGTGAGACAGACAAAATCAAAGTGGCCCAGGGGGTCTCTGGTGCAGTGCAGGACAAGGGCTCAATCCACAAGTTCATTCCATACCTGATTGCTGGGATCCA